AGTGGAAGGCGGCCTTTGTGACTAACCGGGGGCTGTACGAACCCCTGGTGATGTTCTTCGGTCTCACCAACTCCCCCGCGACCTTCCAGGCAATGATGAACGAGATCTTCCATGATCTCATCGTCGGCGGCAAGATCCTTGTGTACCTGGACGACATACTCATCTTCTCCACCAATAAAGAGGAGCATGAGAAGGTCACACGCGAGGTTCTGCGCCGCCTTCAGGATAATGATCTGTTCCTGAAGCCTGAGAAATGCGAGTGGGACGTTCCCAAGGTCGACTATGTCGGCTATGTGTTCGGTGGCGATGAGGTGGCGATGGATCCCGCAAAGCTGAAAGGAATCAATGAGTGGCCGGTGCCCCGGAACAAAAAAGATGTTCAGAAGTTCCGGGGGTTCTCCAATTTCTACTGCCGCTTTATTAAAGACTTCGCTAAGATCTTGCGACCACTCGACCGGCTCACAGGGAACGACCCATGGCATTGGGGCGAGGAAGAGCAGCACGCCTTCGATGAGCTCAAGCGGCTCTTCGCCACGACTCCAGTCCTGGCGCTATATGACCCTAATCGGGAAACGCGCATTGAGGTCGACGCTTCGGGTTACGCCACTGGCGGCGTATTGATGCAGAAGCAGGACGACGGCAAATGGCACCCTATCGCCTTCCGATCCCATGCGATGGATCCGGCACAGCAGAATTACGAGATCTATGATAAGGAGATGCTTGCACACATCGAAGCACTAGATGATTGGCGCCACTATCTCGAGGGGTTACCCCATCAGTTCGAGATCGTCACCGATCACAAGAACCTCGAGTACTGGCGCACGTCTCAGCATCTCACGCGTCGCCAAGCCCGCTGGTCACTGTTCCTAGCTCGCTTCGACTTTCGCATCACACACAAAGCCGGAACGTCCAATGGAAAGGCTGATGCCCTATCGCGCCGATCAGACCATCAGATCGGCGATGAGGACGATAACACCGATCAGGTGGTTCTCAAGCCAGAGCGCTTCTGCATTGCCTCTGCCAGGCGCGGTCATGCCTCGGTGACAGCCAATCAGTCGCTTCTGAAGCGCATCAGGGAATGTTCGGAGAAGGATCGGGAGGTGGCCGAGGCGCTTGAAAAGGTGCAGGACCTCGGACCACCCCGACTGCAAAGGGGTTTCGAGGAGTGGAATGCCGAACAAGGGCTTCTGCTGTTCCGCGGGTGTGTCTACGTCCCAAAGAACGCGGAGCTCCGGCAGGATATAGTCAAGATCCACCACGACTCGCCGATCGCCGGTCATGGTGGTCGTGCCAAAACCCTGGAGCTCATGTCGCGGAATTACTGGTGGCCTGGGATGTCCAAATTTGTCAATGAGTACGTAAGCACCTGCGACGTGTGCAACCGTACCAAGACATTCCCAGCCAAGCCCCAGGGCCCGCTGAAGCCGAATGAGATCCCCGAGCGCCCATGGCAGATCATCACGACCGATATGATCGTCGGCTTGCCAAAGTCTGATGGATTTGACTCGATCCTGGTCACCGCCGACCGCTTTACCAAGCAGGTCCACTTCTCAGCCTGTCATGAGACCCTGACGGCAGAAGGTGCGGCAGACCTGTACATCCGTGACGTGTTCAAGCATCATGGGGCCCCGGCCAAGGTCATATCAGACCGAGGTCCCCAGTTTGCTTCGAAATATCTCCATGCGGTGTACAAGGGTCTGGGAATCGAACCGGCGCTGTCTACAGCGTTCCACCCTCAGACAGACGGCCAGACTGAGCGCTGGAATCAGGAGATCGAGCAGTACTTGCATGCTTTCACCAGCCACAGACAGGATGATTGGGCAAAGCAGTTGCCGCTCGCGGAATTCGCATTGAACAACCGCGTTCACTCCGCGACCGGGCACTCCCCTTTCTACCTGCATCAAGGGTACAATCCTGAGATCCAAGTGCGGATCAATCCGATGTCCGCGATGCCTGCGGCCGCTGATCGGCTCAAAATCCTGAAGGAGATTCGTGATGATACGCGCTCTGCGCTCGAGCTGTCAGCCGAGCATATGAAAGTGTACTACGATAAGCACGTGCAACAGGCACCGGTCTTCACGCGGGGGGACAAGGTCTGGCTTGATGCCCGGAACCTTAAGCTGAAACAGCCGAGTAAGAAGCTCAGTCCCAAGCGCCTTGGACCTTATGCCGTGCGGCGAAAGCTCGGAGACTTGGATTATGAATTAGTCCTGCTGAAGTCGGTGCCGGTGCACCCGGTATTCCATGTCTCCTTGCTTAGCAAGTACACGCGTAGCGATATCCCGGGCCGGGAGCCGGAGGAGCCACCTGCAATTGAGGTTGAGGGCGACGAGGAGTACGAGGTTGAGCGGATCAAGGACTCAAGGATCTTCCGGCGTCAGCTGCAGTACCTCGTCAAGTGGAAGGGTTATGACGACTCGCATACGTCATGGGAACCGGCGCGCAATGTTGCTAATGCGCCGGCCCTCATAGCCGACTTCCACCGGAAGAACCCGAACGCCCCTCGCCGCCTCAACGCTGCTACCTTTGGTGGTCTCAACTTTCAGCCAATGCCTTCGCCGCTGACGGAAGCACACTGCCGCTCCGGGTGGGAGATGGGCAAGGGCGCCTCGCATGAGGTCATGCGCCGTTGAGGGGGGGGTAATGTCACGAGTTGGTACGGCGCCTAGCCGTTTTTTAATTTTTTCCATTTCGCGGGCTCGAACCCGCGACCTCTGTACTACTTGCCTGATATGGACGCGTCGTTATCTACTGTACGATTAGATTAGATAGGACGGCAGTGCGCGGCACAGCTCGGGCTCCGCTGACACAGCCGCTCTGACTCACCGGCCCCCGGGGCCGCGTCGGCATGCTGCGCATGGACCAGCTGCGCACGGACCAACGCGCACAGCCTGCCCTTATCTCCCCATGTATATAAGCCGGCCTCTGCTGCCCTAGGGACCTCAGTTTCGACCTCTTGTCCCTAGGTCAGTAAGCCCCAGTTGTATCCTTTACTTACCTTCACTAACTAATACATTTCTTGTCCCTAGCCTTAGGTTTGAGCCTAGCTCACCATCGCTTCGGTAAGATAAGTCGAACACCCCCAGCATTTGGTTTTCCCCTGTCGCTCGACCCTAAGTCACGACACAACCAGTAGATGCGCAGCTGCGACAGGAACCGGTTGCACTCGATGACGGTCTTGCCATCGTAGCGGAGCGGGAGGAGGAGCTTCAACGTCTCCTTATCAGGGACGGCAGCGGGAGAGGACATTATCGGCGACGAGGGGGACGAAGGACTGCCCGCGGACGAAGGCGACTGTTGTGACTGTCCACCGGGCGGACTTCTCGGGGAACGAGTGCTCGAGCGGCCTCGCGGCGGCGACGGCGGTGAAGCCGGTTGAGGAAGCCCGGAGGCGGGGTCACGTAGGACAGGGACTGGAGTCGAGGCGGTGACCGCTGACGACGAGCTGGCCCAAGAATGCGGCGGAGTGTCGCGGGGCTCGGTCTTGGGAGGCCTTTCCAGCCGCGGCCCCAGGGAGGGCTGGGGGATCGCTTGAGGGGTCGCTGAAGGCTGTGCGACTGCCTCAGTTCCTCAAGGGAGATAGGGATCTCCTCGTGCTTGACCTGTACTGGCGAAAGGTTGGGGAATGCGGGTGCCTGGCGAGGCAGGTCGGGATGGGACGGGAGTGACGTGGCGAGATGTAGACCTCGAGGTGCCAGCGTATCGGAGTGCAGGGCCGCTGGGGTGTTGGACTCGTCGGATTGGCACGTAGCGCCCTTCGTCTTCGTTGGTGGTGATGGACTGTGGGGTTCGATTAGGGCACGGTTGCCGATCACAGCTGAAGAAAGGGGCTAGGTTGCCGTTGCGGTCTGGGTCGTCGTGAGAGACGTCGACCTGCTCCTGGGTGTCGAAGGCGTGCTCAAGTCGAGAGCAGTCGAAGAATTCGTCAGCCACGGTGAGGAGGGGGGGAGGAAGGGGAGGTGCGCGTGCTACAAAAGGCCGTATAAGCTAGCTTACACCTACGGCGCCCGAGGTAACACTAGGGTTCGCAATTCACGTGGGGCCCAGTACTGCTTTTGGCTAGTATGCAGCAGGAACCTAGTCCACGCGTCCGTGAGGACAAGTACCGCCCACTGAAGTGCAGGTACTGAAAAGTTCGTCCCCTAAGTGGTGGCGATGTATAGTACGCTTATCTACGTATCGTAGCGTATAGTAGGGGTGCGCACCACCCAACCTATAGGAGAGGAAAGATGAGTGTTTTGTTGCTTTGGGAACGCCGGCAGCGTTGGGGAGTTTCGACCTAATGTCACGACTTAGGGTCGAGCGACAGGGGAAAACCAAATGCTGGGGGTGTTCGACTTATCTTACCGAAGCGATGGTGAGCTAGGCTCAAACCTAAGGCTAGGGACAAGAAATGTATTAGTTAGTGAAGGTAAGTAAAGGATACAACTGGGGCTTACTGACCTAGGGACAAGAGGTCGAAACTGAGGTCCCTAGGGCAGCAGAGGCCGGCTTATATACATGGGGAGATAAGGGCAGGCTGTGCGCGTTGGTCCGTGCGCAGCTGGTCCATGCGCAGCATGCCGACGCGGCCCCGGGGGCCGGTGAGTCAGAGCGGCTGTGTCAGCGGAGCCCGGGCTGTGCCATGCACTGCCGTCCTATCTAATCAGATCGTACAGTAGATAACGACATGTCCATATCAGGCAAGTAGTACAGAGGTCGCGGGTTCGAGCCCGCGAAATGGAAAAAATTAAAAAACGGCTAGGCGCCGTACCAACTCGTGACAGGTTGATCAACACGTCACTAACCACCATCGAACTCAAGGTGCAGGTCGCACTTAGCCTGCTCGATGGAGACGCCCGCGCTTGGGCCACTCCCTACTTCGCCCAACTCGTGTCGGTGCAGATAGGAGCGCAAGGGGTCACGACCCCATTCGCAAACGAAGCGGCCTTTGCCGCCGCCTTCAGGGCCCGCTTCGGAAATCTCAACGACGAGGCGGCAGCACAAGTAGAGCTGGCGAAGCTCTGCGCGGACAAGTCGGTCCGTGAAAAATGCACCGCTGCGGAGTTCTCCGCGTTGTTCAAGGGTCCGGCGGACCGCTCTGGGTATGGGGACCTGGAGCTACGCGACAAGTACCTGAGCGGCATCCCCTCCCGCGTCTACCGCAAGATCGAGCTCGAGACCTTCGCCACGTGGCAAGCAGCTGAGAAGCGCGCCACCGAGGTCGAGCAGATCCTCGACATCAGCCGGGCCCGTAGGCCCGAGCTAAACAACTTCTTCTCGGCCCGAGGTCGAGGACGCGGTGGGGCACGTGGTGGTGCACCCTCGACGCACGCAGCTTCGGCCAGCATCAATGCGGCCGTCGGAAAAGGAAACTTCCCCGGCACATGCTTCGGCTGTGGGAAGCAAGGGTACCAACGCTTCGAGTGCCCCAATTGTAAGGACAAGCCTTACACAAAACGCGCCGACGCGCGGGCTACGGTTGCCTC